AAAAAGGTACCAGGGAAAGTGGAATCCTTCCATGCTTGCAGACTACTGTTGGACTCTTGGTAGAGATGCTGCAGAAACGATCCATAAAAGAACAGCAAAAAGACAGCGCATATAGTGATTCTTATAAGTATATGAATCTTGTTACATTTTTTAATATATCCTTAAAAATAAAGTTTTTTTTCTAAACCGCAATTATTTTTTTATTTCATTGTCATTTTTGGATTCAGCGCCCCAAAATTAACAAGGAAGTTCACTTTTCCCACAAGATACAATTAAAAAACTAAAATTTGTTGTCCAGTGAATCATTATTCTCACAGCTTTTGGTTCAGTACTTCGCGTATTAAAATCGCACCCGAGACCCGAGCCCTACATTTGCCAAATTACCTTAATACTGCATACTTGACAAAGTGCGCATTAAATTTAAATGCAACCCTGTAATAGGGAAACAAAGCCCCCACTCATTCCCTATTCAATTACGTACTTAACACCTCCCTGTTAGACATCCTGCCGCCTGAAATAAATGTCCGTAGCAATTTTAGGGCTACTTTGTTTTCCATTCTTGAGCTTACAGAAAGGCTCTCTTATGGAAATTAATCCTGAAAATTGTTGAGTAGTTGCAATAAAATGCAGTGTACGTGATGTTGTCTAGAGGTTTTTTGTAGGTTCTCATGAGGAAGTCTTGAAATTAGGAAGAAGAAGTCGATGCTAGTTTCACTTGCATATAATAGTATAACTGGTATCTTTCACAAATCGGAAATAACTACCAACTAACAATTTTATGTTTTATAAAAGCCCTAACTATTTTTTCAGAACCATTTTTTTAAAACAACAATGCCGTTATAAGCGTTCTAACAACGTTTATACAATTCATATAAAGTCAAAAAAGGCGCATTCTCGAGCAGTAGTTTTGTTCTTCAATGTGTTTTAACCGGATGATTGTTTAAACGTTTTTAAAGTTATTATAAAACATAGCACGCAAAAATTGTAATACATTCTTATTGAAAAAAGTTATAGTTTTATAAAAGTTATTCGATGCATTTTTCTTGTTTTGACTAACACTTAAAGTTTGCTTTTGTTGTTAAATGCACCCAATGAGAATAATTTGCTTTTAATGATAATTAATACAAGAAAAAGGCAAGCATTAGACCTTTTGGCAAATAAAATTTGTTTGAGTAACTACATCAGCCAGGTTGCATTTAGTTCCGATATAACATATACCAGACAGAAATTCGCTTTGTAATCTGATGGTTAATATTTTACTGCGCAAGAAATTTTTTGTATAATACAGGGTGTACGCAAAGTTGGGGTTTTCCTTTTCAGAAACAACTACCCTTGAAATAACAAAGGTAATGTGTAGTGAAACGAGGGCGACCAAGTAAAAAAAAAATAAAGGAAAAAGTACTCACTCTCCAGTTGACGAGAAGGGCTAAGTACGTCTCTGCCCGAAATCATACCGCTCCAGCAGAAAATGAAATCAGCTGATGCGCTACCGAGCAGACGCAGAAACCACATTGATTGTCTTACATTTAATGGCACATATCCTAACAAGGAAGGCAAAATGTTGCGTAAAAGGTCTAGGTATTGCATCCCGTCCAATCGATTTGGGAGAATAAAGGTCCAGTGAGCATACCGTTCACCATGCCAGCCCAAACATTCACCGAAAATGTTTGTTGAAAATGTGCCCGACGGACAGCGTGCGGATTTTCTACTGACCAAACATGAGTGTTGCGAAAGTTATTCACCACATTACGCGTGGACGTAGATTCGTCTGTCACCAATATGCACTTCAAAAAGTCCGGATTATTGTCATGTTGATGCAACAACCACTCACAAAACCGCACTCTTGCTAGAAAATCGTCAGGTTGAAGGGCTTGTACACGTTGGACGTGAAACGGATACAGCCCCTCTTCACGCAGCGTTTGCCACACTTTAGTTTTTGATACTTGCACATCTCTAGCCACGTCAATAGTGCTTGTTGAGCGATTCCCGTCTACGCGATTACCTCTACACGCGTGACCGTAACCGTCGGTTGAAGGTTGCATACTGACCTGACACACTGACCCCGCCCCAGTTCTGTCGTCAGGTTGAGCCAGTGACCTTGTACCAGTCGGTGATGTCGCGGCTACAGGACGGTATTCAGATATTTTTGATGTTGCAGAGCCCGTTATCTCGGTTCCCTTAAGACATTGGTGTGGATGGTACTAAGAAAAATTGCTTATGTTTTCAAGATCTACACGTCGTGTAAAGGAAAACCTCAACTTTGCGGACACCCTGTATATGGGATATACTATATATAATATGTAGTCTCAAGTATATTAGAAGTTACTGAATTTTAATAGAAAAGTTCAACATTTCCATTATGTATTTTCTCCTATTTTGGTCTGTATTGTGATAAAATAATTCAATTTACCCATCTCATACCATTACAGAAACACTAGAGTAGTAAATTAAAACATTCTATCATTGGAAACATGATTTTTTGTAATACGCTTAAACATGGTCGTCGTAAACTGACGTTGAAATAACAAAAGCGTTTTACTTTACACGAGATTTGAATGAAATATTCATTTTATGTGTGTATTTCAGTTAACTGGAGAAGCTTTGTAGGAAAAAAGCGCTAGTGTTAACAAGTCCAATTCGATGCCTAGCCATTGCTGTCTTGTTAACCGCTAAGGGTACGTAAATTTAGGCAAAATGTGCATTTCAATGCTTGTTGGCAACTAGCTTTTACTTAGCATGTGTCGATTGTGCCACACTATATGATGCATATTTAAATTCGATCATAAATTTTCATTCCAAATCAGCAGTACTTTTTTCACTGATACTCAATGCTAAGACCACTTACAGTCTACAATGTCGCTTAACAAGTCTATTTGCATTTAGAAAGAACTGACAGTCACCGCATCACACTGTTTCTTGACCCTTCAAATGCGCTCTTCCAGAAAACTCACCGTGATATTTTAGGTTAAATTCGTCTGAATTCATAAACTGTAATTATTATGGGGGAGCGTCAACGCCACCTCCAAAACTTTAGGAAGCAGAAAACCTTTTACAACCACCTTTTCACACATTATTAATTATTGAGCTGGACATAACGACTTGCCAGTAATAACTCATTGCGGATTGTCTCGAATCCCTGTGTACTTAGCGGCTTCCCACAACCCCTATTACCAGTTATTATAAAGTCATCATAATCACTGGCAGCGTATTGTGTTGCGCGGGCCTTTTGTGGAAGGCTTATTATTACTTAGAACAAGTTTGACTCGGCCACCGTACCGCAGCACTAAGCCCCTGGTTGCAGAGAGCAATTTCACTGACTGCGGAAACAAGCCTAATTATGTGGGTCCCAGCAGTGTCGTCTTTCGGGGGGCTGAGAAGTACTAGATATACAGGTTGTAAACGTTATGATAGTCATTATTTAAATGGGGGTTAAAAGAAGCAGAAAGTTTCATATAACACAGGGGTCAAAACGGTATTTTATTATTTCATTATTTGAAAATGCAAACAATTAAAAAAACGGACTTACCACTAAGTGTCTTAGCGCTTCACCTGGTGCGTGAAAGTTTATTGAACGTATTAAAAAAATCCACTTATAAACAGGGAACAAAATTTTGATACATACATTATTTTTCTTTTTAAAACCCACACTGCACTTTTTTGTATCTAAAGAAGGTGTTCAAAATGTCGTCCTCCACTTTCTACACAAGCTTCATTACTACGAACCTGGTTTCTTATTACTCTGGCCCTCGAAGTTGTCCATTTATCTTTTCAGCCACATTAAAATGTTTTTCACGAAGTTTAGCTTCAGTTGTTATTGGACCAACCCCATGAACTATCCTTTTAAGTTCTCCCCAATACCAGAAATCCATCGGATTAAGGTCAGGAGATCTTGCTGGCCATTTTCGAGGATCAGGAGCATTTCGACCTATCCAGCGATTTGCATAATGTTCATTCAAATACTGAATGACGCCTCTAAAGGTGTGTGGTGGTGCTCCATCATGAAGAAACCACAAATTCTGTCTCCGTTGTAATGGTATGTTGTCTAAGGTCTGTTCCAAAAGTTCTGGTAGGTTATCGGCTGGAGAGCTAAGGTATCCTTCTCCTGACAACTTTGGGGGTAACTCAAAAGGGCCAATTACCTGTTCGTCAAGAAATAACAATTATATTTCGTATTGCCGTTCTCGAATTACAAAGTAACCACTTGTAGTAGCAATTTTTCCCGCTCGCACCAGCACGAAGTTTAAAGCAAAAATATTCTCCCCGCCCCTGCCCATACCCGGCATAGACCGGTACCTGATCTCCTCTACCAAGACTCGTCACTGCAATTTTTCGTGCGCTCGCAGCAGGACGGAGAGAAAGATGGGTCGCGTAACAAAGAAAGTGACGCGTAAACACAGAAAAAAGTTACACCAATTGCTGCAACTTGTAGATAGTTCAAGTAAGTATATTGTAATTAATTGTTCCCTTCTGTTTTAGCCCCAATTCATTCAATGAAAACATAAGTACACATGTGCTATGTGCCTATCAGGTTCCTGTTTATTATTGATATTCAGTATTCACATGAACTACTAGTATTAAAATGGTTGATTAATTTCAATGTGCCCCTCGGATATACATGTACACATGTACTATGTACCGATTAAACACTTCTTGATATACAGTATTCACATGAATTACTGGCATGAATAGTTGATTGTTTTCAAAATACATCTCGGGTATGCGTATGTACACATGTGCTATGCACCGAATGGCGACTTCTTGACTTACAGTATTCACATGAATTACTGTTGGCAATGTTATTGGTATATTGGTATTGAATACATAGTATGTAACTCTTTCAAAACAAGGGAATTGATAAATAATCTCGCAAAACTACTCTGGAATCTTATCCATGTTTGGCAAACTGTCAAGCCCTTCAGCCTCCAGTGATTAACCCAGAGGTTCGATCTTGTTTAAGTACAAATGCAGTTAAAGAGGATACATTCCTCATTCAATTACAGTTAGCATCTGGGATAAGTGCACTGGCCGTCGGCTTCGATAAGCAATATGAAATAACGAAATCGAATTCTACAGACGAAACACGAGCTGATTTGGAAAGATGCTGTGCTCCACTAACAATAATCGCAGATGTTTTTCACGCGATTTCTCTTCATCGTCGTTATTCCATCCTACCATTTTTGGATGGCAACGTTCGCAAATTTTCTGATACTTGCCCAATTGATGAATTTTTATTTGGAAAAACATTCCCGGACCAATGGAAATCCGCAAGTGAAGCTCAACGATTAGGATTTTCAATCAAGAAGAAGGAAAAAGCTCTGGGATCATCATCTTCCAAACCAATCGTCTATAAGAAATTGGAGCCCAAGCCAGGTCCGTCGAGGGTCCCGTCGTCTTTAAACTCCCGGCGCCAGCAACACAAATCTCGCATGAAAAAGGAGGCGGAGAGGTTTCGTTCAGCAAGGTCATACCGGAAGCAGTAGACAAGGTACATACTCTTTGCGATATGTATGCGGGTCACTTATCTGCATATGTAAATAAGTGGGCAAACATTACACAAGATTCTACTATTATTTCGTGGTTATCTGGATATAAAATGCCTTTTGTTAAGAAACCTAAGCAAAGGCGTTTACCTGGATCTGCTTTTAGGCTGCAGGAATCAGATAAATTAAAGGACAGCATAAGACTTTTGAGAAACATAGGAACAGTATCCAAAACTACCTCAAAACCTGGGCAGTTTTTGTCCTCGTTTTTCTTAATACCGAAACCTTGTGGGGCATTCAGGTTTATTCGAAATTTAAAGGAATTAAACGAAATTTTAGAACCACCCCACTTTAAATTGGAAAATTTCAGGACTGTCCTCAAATTGGTTTATAATGACTGTTTCTTCACTAAAATAGATTTAAAAGATGCCTATTTTATGATACCGGTGCATCAGACATTCAGAAAATACCTCACTTTCAAATTTCAAGGTGTATATTACCATTTTAATTGTTTACCTTTTGGTCTTTGTACAGCCCCATGGGTCTTTACAAAAATTATGAAACCAATCCTTAAATATTTAAGGACTAGAGGTATAATTTGTGTACTGTATTTAGATGACTTATTAATTATCAGTAAGTCAATACAAACAGCTGAGCAAGACTGTCAAATTGCTAAGGATATTTTAGAATATTTAGGATTCTTAGTAAATTACGATAAAAGCTCTATGATCCCAGCCAAACAATGTACCTTTTTAGGTTTTGTTTTTGATTCCACAAATTTAAGGGTGTCCTTATCAACAGAAAAAGTGAAAAACATGATGGAACTAGTAGAGACTTTTCTACGCCGCAATCGGTGTTCTGTTTTAGTTTTAGCTCAGTTAATAGGAAAACTAGTTTCCGTTTGCCCGACTGTACAATATGGTTGGATGCACCTTAAGATTTTAGAATGAGTTAAATATGTAACATTAAAAAGACACGAGCAAAATTTCAATACCTCAGTAATAATTTCAGAAATAATGCGATCAGAAATATGTTGGTGGCATCACACTCTTATAAATAATGAAGGTGTAGCTATTGTTACAGATAGAAAATTCATACTTGAGATTTTCTCAGATGCTTCATTAACTGGTTGGGGTGCCTTTTGTCAGAATAGAGGTACTAACGGTTTTTGGAATGTGGACGATGCTAACAGACACATTAACTATTTGGAGTTACTAGCCGCATTTAATGCACTTAAATCCTTTGCCTCCAATATATCTTCTTGTTTAATTCTTCTTAGAATCGACAATGTAACGGCTATAGCTTGCATAAATCATATGGGTAGTGTAAGATATAAGCACCTTAATAACATCACACGCCAGATTTGGGAATGGTGTGAGAATAGACAAATTTTCATAGTTGCTTCATATATAAATACAACAGATAATTTATATGCAGATAGATTGTCTCGCTCGAAATCTATCAACCTAGAATATGAGTTATCGAGTTTGGCTTTTCGAGAAATTTTTTCTAGTTTCGGGAAACCGACTGTGGATTTATTTGCGACACAGTTAAATGCCAAAGTTCCTAGGTATATTTCTTGGAAACCAGATCCTAGTTACTTTACAGTTGATGCATTTACAGTGTCTTGGAGAAAAGAGTTTTTTATGCGTTTTCTCCTTTCTCACTCATATCAAAATGCCTAAAAAAAAAAAAAAAAAAAAAAAAAAAAAAAAAATTATTGTTGAGCAAGCTTGTGGAATTCTTGTGGTTCCTAGTTGGACAACTCAACCGTGGTATTCCGTTTTCCATAAATTATTGACAGGAAGATCTATAATCTTTTCGCCTAATAAAGCCCTTCTCTCTTCCCCTTCTAGGGGATGCCATCCACTGTGGAGAACACTTTCCCTGGAGGCTGGGAGTTTATCGGGGAAGTTTTTCTCAGACGAGGAGTGCCAGAAAACGGGCTCCAAGCAATCAAGGCATCGCTTAGTCCATCTACCTTGAGACAGTATTCATCGCAATTAAAAAAGTGGTGGCAATTTTGCATAAGCAAAGGCTATATTCCTTTTTTGTATTCATTAGACGCAGTCATTAATTTTTTGAGTGATCAATTTCAAAACAATTGTTCCTACGCAACACTTAACTCACAGTATGCGGCATTAGCTTTGATTTTTGAGATAAATAGCTCAGATAAAACTATTCTAAAACGGTTTCTTAAAGTAATTTTCAATCAGAGACCGTCAAGACCTAAGTATCAATCAACTTGGGATCCTCAACCAGTTTTAGAGTACTTATCTACCTTGTATCCCTTAACAGAAATATCTGTTAGGCAATTGACTATGAAGTTAGTTACTTTGTTAGCTTTAATTACTGGCCATCGATTACAAACGTTCACTTATATACGATAACAAAATATAGTTCGCAATACTGATAGAATAGAAATTAACATTACGGATCGAATCAAAACTTCATCTTCCAAGGGTCTTCAACCCCTTTTAGTGATCCCATATTTTCGGGAAAACCCAAGCCTTTGTTTAGCCTCAACTATCGATTTCTATGAAATAAAAACCAGAGGCATACGCCCACTTGATACTGATTTTCTTATTTTAACAGTTAAGAGACCTATTCGCCCATTCTCTACACAGAGATTGAGTAAATGGATCAAACTGACCCTTCAAGCAGGCGGTATTGATACCTCTATATTTTCTAGTTATAGCACTAGGCATGCAGCTACATCTGCAGCCTATAAAGCTGGAGTCTCTATTGAAATGATAAGAGAGAGGGCTGGTTGGACGCAAAAATCAGAAATGTTTGCTAAGTTTTATAATCGCCCTCTTTGTAGTGATGTTACGGCCTTTGATAAAGGTATCTTGAGTTTAAGCTCAGTTTAATATATTTTTTTTATGGATTAATAGAGTTTGATCCAAATTCTATACTACTTTTTGAAGAGAGAGTAGTTAACTGTTCATAATATAATAATTTGTATTAGAAGATAGTATTATTGAATTGTTTTGTTTAGATCCCTCTATTAGATCTTTACGGAATAAATATGGAGCCATGATCCCGATTCGGACTCTTCTTTGAACATCTACAAGTGGTTACTTTGTAATTCGAGAACGGCAATACGAAATATAATTAATTGTTCAATTGACTTACCTTAAGGAAAATTGAACCATATTATATGAGTATTGCCGTTCGAAGAATTACAAACCCACCCATTGTTTTTCATCCCTCCCACTGTTCCGATCGGGATTAGCTGGGTAAATTGCAGTGACGAGTCTTGGTAGAGGAGATCAGGTACCGGTCTATGCCGGGTATGGGCAGGGGCGGGGAGAATATTTTTGCTTTAAACTTCGTGCTGGTGCGAGCGGGAAAAATTGCTACTACAAGTGGTTACTTTGTAATTCGAGAACGGCAATACTCATATAATATGGTTCAATTTTCCTTAAGGTAAGTCAATTGAACAATTAATTATCTTTCGGAAGGGCTTGTGATTCATGTTGGCAAGGTAAACTCGTGCATTTTGCTATGAAATGCTTTATGAACGAACCCTGTATTTGCTCAATAAACTCGTAGTGATGGCGGGGTGTTTTGGGATACAAAATTAGAAATTCTCAAGAACTACTTGATCGATCGACTCCAGTTGTGTTGTAGTTATTCAAAAGTAAGAAGCCTTCCAATTTGAAGAATTTCAAGTAGCTGATTTAACTATAAATATCTATTTTTCACTTGTATCCTAGCCAAAACTTTACGCAAATTCCATCAATCAAAAAGATTTGTGGGTATTCCAGATTAGACAAACCTGATACAACAGATTGACATAACGCCATTACTGAGATTCATATTGAAAATAACAGTGTCTCACTGTTGTTGTAAAAAATTCTGCTGGATAAATTCTTTGAGGATATGACTAAAATTAGAGAATGTTTATTTTTTAACAAGCATCAAGTAAATAATGTATTTACTCATGTACTGAACGATATAACGACTACACGATCACACTGACATCCATCAGTATGCAGCTCAGAATAAAATGAAAATTATTGTCACATCAATCTAGATGTTGTAGCAGATTTTTGTCCATGCTTTGAGTACGGAGCAAATACTTATTTTTCATTGGCGCATCATGGCAGCTAATTTAGTGTTTGGACGTAAATGAAATTTGTTTTGGTAGATTTCTTGATAGGAAAAAGTGGAACAAACCTAACGAAAATAGTGGGACAAACCTTACGAAAAAAGTAGGATAAACCTAACGAAAAAGGTGGGTCTAACCTACCCTTTTGCGTTAGGTTTGCTCCACTTTTTTTGTTAGGTTATTCCCGCAGTTTTCGTTAGGTTTGTCACACTTCTTTCTGTTACGTTTGTCCCACTTTTTCCGTTAGGTTTGTCCCACTTGAAAGAAATCTGTAGTTGCATCTTGATCTAGCACTCTACCAAACTATCGAACTATCGAACTATCGAGCTATCGTAATATCGAACTATCGAACTATCGAGCTATCGAACTATCGAACTACCGAACTATCGAACTACCGAACTATCGAACTGTCGAACTATCGAACTATCGAACTATCGAACTATCGAACTATAGAACTATAGAACTATCGAACTATCAAACTATCTAACTATAGAACTATCGAACTATCGAACTAACGAACTATCGAAACATCGAACCATCGAACTATCGAACTTCAAACTATCGAACTTTCAAACTATCAAAATACCAAACTATCAAACTATCGAACTATCAGAACTAACGAAAAGGTGGGACAAACCTAACAAATATGGGAATTAGGGACCCATTTTACACAAACCATGGACCATATTCATTAGATCCATCACTTGAAAGACGCCTTCATTATTGGTTGAATTTGTGTTCCACGTGCTTTCTTGCTTAGTAGAACTGGGCCTTAATGAATCATACGTTACTTATAAAATGTGTGTCGCTTTGATCCTCTGCCTCAAATCGCAGTACCAATACTTTGTTCATGCTAATCCTACATTTTCAAGAATATTAGAAA